GGGTGACTGCAGCGCACGGGAGAGAGTTTGTGGACCGATTGAGTTGAAGGACTTGGACCTGCAAGGGCTGTAAACTCAGTTGTCGTCTTACACAAATCGTCGTGGGTGAGAGTGCGTGTTCTCATTTCACGCGGAGAGAGAACATCTGAATCTTTTTTCGCTCCGGAGAAATCCGATGAGCCATGAGAGCGCTTTGTTTCACAGGTGTCCGGTAGGGCCGGGTCAGAACGTTACAACAACAAAAACTAAAAAAAACTATCGGAGTACAAAGTATAGGAATCAAATCGCTAAAACATACAAGATATGTCTATTAAACAGCACTAATCAAAGTTGTAATAGATCAGAGTTAACGTGTTTATTAAACTGAGCCAGGTTTATTCCAAGAGCTTGCGGGAAAGAGATGATGGTAAAAGGATAAACTACTCAACTTTAACAGAAATAAAATAATAATAAATGATTTATTTTCATTTTCGTAAAGTCACGTAAGTAAAATATACCAGAAATAAAATAATAAAAAATGATTTCTCATTTTCTGATTATTAATTTTCATTTATTATTATTTTATTTCTATTATCTTTTAACTACGTGACTTTACCGAAAAAAACCTAAGAGTATGAATCCTTGCAGTCACGAAAGCTTCAAATCTAGAACTACTAAACTTAGTTTTTTTCTTTCATTTTACCAAGTAAGGCCCACTGGACTATTGGCTTGTTTTTTTAGAAGCGACCTGGCCGCAAATGATAGCTCAACGAAGCGGCTTATCGTGTGGAAATTTATAGCAGCCGAACAATTTGAACACTTAATGTTGAGGGGGAAAACCCGGAGGACCCCCCGGACACAACAAAAAATAAATCCACGCGACCACGGCGAGAGAGACACACAAACTCCAAATATAGAGGCGGTCAGGGTCGGGATCAAACCCCACGACCATCTGTATACGAGGCGAGGTAGTTAACATCTTGAATTTAGTTGCGAACATTCTCAACCCTCCCACCCACCCACCGAGACTGCCACTGATGTTTGAATACTACACCGCAGCCTCCCTGCCATTGACGGGTCGCTTCAATTGCTTAGTATCTGTTCGCCCGCGTGCAAACACAACGCAGTGTGTGTGTGTGGCCACTCACAGCAGATACAACAACAAAGCGACAATTGCTGCGACTCTTGATAATAATAATGTCTTGTCGCTGACAGATGTTGTTTATTAGCTTGCTGTCGCTCTCGTTTGAATTGTTTTGCTTGCTCTTGCGCTTTGCTAGTGGCGAAACGCTCGGCTGCTGCTGCTACTGCTTCTGCTGCTGAGCTAACAACCCAGCCCGGGACCGGTCATCTTTGTACCAACGGCTCAGCAGTTGCTAGGACGCTGCACACAACACGGATCTGCCGCTCCCATTTGGCATACCGGTTGTCGTTGTCGTTGTTGAGAAGAAGGAAAACAAGTAATACGTAGGCTTTCGCGACCAATATTATTCATAATATAGGTTTTTAGGTTTAGATCGCGTTATTTATAAATGTGTCGTAACCCTCCACCACCCGACACGGCCAAACAGTAAAAAAATGTGTCACGTTTTCAAAGGACAAATTAATTGACTTCTTTAGCCCACCGGTGTGCTGAAGAGAGAATCAACAGCATTTTTAAAATTTAAGTAGTACGACGTTTCGCTGATAATTACAATCAGCTTCATCGGGCAAAAATGGTGAAGCTTAAGACCGGAAGCAACAGGAGAGCTTCACCATTTTTGCCCGATGAAGCTGATTGTAATTATCAGCGAAACGTCGAACTACTCACATTTTAAAATGCTGTTGATTCTCTCTTCAGCACACACCGGTGGGCTAACGAAGTCAATTAATTTGTCCTTTGAAAACGTGACACATTTTTTACTGTTTGGCCGTGACGGGTGGTGGAGGGTTATGACACATTTATAAATAACGCGATCTGACCCAAAAACCTTTATTATGAAAAACAAGTAGTGTTAAGATTTTTTTTTTAAATACGCTTTAATGAAATGTACCGTACGAGAAATGGAAGAACTCCACGACTCCTGGAAGTGGCCCCGAAGCTTGCCATAACGTAAGGAACCGTGGTAAATTACAGCCAGTTGAGCGTGGACAATTAGACCCAAGCCGAAACATAACATATAAAAAAAATGTTTAAAAATATATTTTTTATGATAGAATATAGTATTGTCATCAGTATGACATAAGTATACCAAGTTTGCAGTCGATACCACATTGGGAAGTGGGTTAAAATTGAGTTACAAGATTTGAGGAGCTACATCATGGGACCTCCTTTGCCAGTACAAAAATATACTAAATAGGGTTTTCCCCTTTTTTTCTGGCAACAAAACTGACACCGTTTGCAAGGAATCATGTTTACATTAACCACAATACTTGCAGTCAAGTGCAAACAAAAAACAATAATCTGATCATTTATGCATTGTCCTTAAAACGTATTGGTCCACACCAGAGACAGCTTTCTTTAGAGCCTAGTCTCATATTGGTGTTCGACCAGATGACGCCAAAAGGCGCACGGATGCATGCAAGAATCCACGTGCGCCTTTTGGCGTCATCTGTGGTTAATGTAAACATCTTTCCTTGCAAAAGGTGTCAGTTTTGTTGCCAGAAAAAAAGGGGAAAACCCCTCTCAGTAAGATTTGAGGATACAACAACAACGACAACAACAACAACGACAGACATAGTGAGTTAAAAGAAAGCGTGTAGTAATAAAAAACACAAAATAGCGATTCTAAAGACGTCTCCTTTGCGGTGGGAAACGCCGGCCGGAGGTGAGAAACGATGGTGAAGGTTGCTGTAGGTCAGGGGGAGTCGGCACGCTGCGGGTCTCCGGATCCGCATGCGGTGGTGGCTCTTGATGGACTTGCCTCGTGACAGCTATTTTATTGAGGAACCCCTCCGTCTCGTGTTCACCACGCGGCGCATCGCGGCTCTTGAAATAAATGCTTTTGTTTTACCCGAATATTTTTTTTAAAAATGGCTCGTCTTGTTATTTTGGTTGCCGACCCCGGTTCGAGACGTTTCGGACACGGGCCAAACACAAGATTTGATAAGGGGGCCGGGGGTGAGGGGTGGGGGGGACCAAAGCACTCGGATAAAGTCCAAGCATACGAACGACTTAAAAAAAACCTCAAAACTCCACACGGATGCATGCAATAATCCATCGCATAGTCTCAAACAGTATTAAACCAGAGGACGCCAAAAGGGGAACAGCTGTTTGAGACGAGGCTCTTGAGAAAGCTGTCCCTGGTGTGGACCAATCAGTTTCAAAGACGATGCATCGTGTTTTTTTGTTTGCATGTTCACCATGCAGACATGATTCTAGATTTGAAGCTTTCGTGACTGCAAGGATTCATACTCTTAGGTTTTTTCGGTAAAGTCACGTAGGTAAAAAATAAAATTTAAAGTTAATAAAATTAATAATGGAAATAAAATAAAATAATAAATCACGACGTTTCGGAGGCAACACAAGTCTCCGTCGTCAGGTGGGACCGTCTTCATGCAGTAATTTTAGCTGTTACGCTCCCACCTGATGACGGAGACTTGTGTTGCCTCCGAAACGTCGTGATTTATTATTATATTTCCACTATTACTTTTATTAACTTTTAATTTTCTTTTTTACCTACGTGACTTTACCGAAAAAACCTAAGAGTACAGACATGATTCTCAACACAACTGTTTTATTGCCAGAAAGGCTAAAACCTATTCTTATATAGCTTAACTGTTGTTGTTGTTGTAAAATTGCAGCTGCCGTGTCAACTATTTTTTAATTTTACCAAGTAAGGCCCACTGAGCTATGTAGCTCTTTTTTTTCTCAGAAGCGACCTAGCTATCACGAATAATCGCCCAACCAAGTGGCAGATCGTGTGGAAATGTATAGCAGCCAAATGACTCTAAACGCGTGACGTTTCTCAATGTGGAGGGAAAAACCGGAGGAAAAAAAATTCCACGCGACCACGGGGAGAACACGCAAACTCCAAATATACAGCAGGTGTCAGCAGGGTCGACATCGAACCCACGACCTCCTGCATACCAGGCGAGGTAGTTAACATCTTTCCACCGTGGCACTGTGCGCTAAAGTGATCCATTAAAGCAACCTTGCTATCTACGGCGAAGTCACTCCGAACGCAGCCGATCTTGTCGGATCCGAGAAGCCGAACAGGACCCGGGTGCCCAGGTGTCACAGGGCACGGGGGGGGGGGTGTGGAGCTGTGTCCAGGAGATGGCAGCGCGGAGTGCGTCACTGCCTTCGTGCGCGCAAGTGGGATACGTTTGGCACAGATGCCCTCTCCCTAGAGGTCGCAAACGGGTTTTGATGCCTTACCCGTACCCGGCCGCACCAGGGTCGCAAATGGGTACCCGTACCCGTACCGGGTACAGGTAGCCGTATCCTACCCGTACCCGTACCCTACCCGAAATGAGTGACAAACGGTTACTCACCAGTGACTCACGGCCTACCCGTACCCGTACCCGGCCGCACCAGGGTCGCAAACGGGTACCCGTACCCGGCTGGGTACGAGTAGCCGGGTATCGGGTAGGGTACGGGTATCGGGTACCCGGTGGCGACCTCTGCCTCTCCCACAAGGGGAATCTCTCTCATCGACAGTGGAATTGGCCAAACATCTCTAAGTATATGACCCTCGTGAGATAAAGTCTTGGGGACTCGACGAAGATTGCCTGGGTAAATAATTGGCATTGTTTAAACGGCTGAATTTAAGCCCATATCAGAAGGTTATATTATGAATAGACGATACATATTTGGCATAAAAACTACTGGTGCACATCATACATCTTTTTTTTTACAGGATTTACATAAAAAATGAAAAAACTAGGATGCAGTTTTTTTTTGTTTTACAAAAGTCACGGACAATTCACGCCGATAATGAAGTTCATGGAAGTTAGCTGACGACATTGTTGCTGGAGTTCCATTGATGATGATTATGATAAAATGACGATTACAATGATGGCGATGATGGCATTCTCACCTGAACTGTGCCAACTTTGTTGCCCATCTTGTGACGTGGAGGGGCAGCGAGTGTGAGCGGGTTGGATCTTTCTTCTCCAAGCAGCAATCTTGTCTTGCCAGCAGCCTGCGACAGCGTGCGTGCGAGTGTGCGTTGGGATTGGAGCTGCCGCTATAAGTTTGTCTCAATGCACGGGGCGGACCCAGGTGGACCGATGCCCAAAGAAGGTACAACCCCCTCTTGCAAGCCCTTCCAAGCCACCACCCCCCACCCCACCCCAACCCAACAACAGACGCTGTAGCCAGGGAAACAGCTTTCTAAAGTCTTTGGAGCACAGCGGGCTGAGAAAGGAAAAATAGATGTAAGAAAAAAATATCAAACTTAACACGTTTACAGCAGGAGATGCTCGGGACACAATAAGTGTCGTTGTTAGCGCGCTGTATTTACATTCGGGGTTTGAGCGCTTGCTTCCAAAGGTAACTGCCGCTCAGTGAACGTACGGACTGCTATAGTTGAAGGTGTTACCTTTATGGAGTTTCGGGATATGCCCTGATATGGGGTGGTTGGTGGTGGTGGGGGGGTGGAATCTCGTTATACACAATAATGCTACATGACTCATTGATCTCGATTTGGCATATTCAATAGCTATTCTCTTTGGCAGATGTTTTATTTAAAGGTATTTGTAAACCCGTTTGATCACCGAATAATACATCTGTAATCAGTGTAATGCATCATCGTGAAAGAATACACTGGTCTACAACAAAAAAACACATTTTTTTCTGGCCTGGACTTTTGCAGCTGTTCTAGACTAATTTCAGGGTGCTGATTCCAAATATGATCTCAAATTTGCTCTATCACATCTCATTTTTATGCTATCGGCATACCCCATTTTCATTGATTTTACCCGAAATTAACTCTGTCACTTATGATTTCAAGTTGTTGCGAGTCAGTGACTGCTTTAGTGTTAAAATATGGTGCTGTATTTTTAGGATAGTGTGTTTATAATATCATTTTATGTAGATATCCACATTTATTTAATATTTTTTCTTCTGCAGTTCTTATTGAAAATGCAATATTTGATATCTCAAAAAACCTGATGTGATAGACAAAAACTGATGCCACATTTGGAATCAGCACCCCAAAATTACATTAAACCGTTGGAATACCTTATGCCAGAAAAAGTGTGTTGACCGGTGTTATCTTCCACAGAAGAAGCCCTCTAAGTCACGATGCAGCCTGGACAATTCTAACGCGCAGTGAACGGAGTGGAGCTTTGCAAGACCCAAGAAGGACTTTGGCAATTTTTTGTTATTTTATTGCCTCGGATACAAATGACTCAGATGCCAAACTTAAGAAGGCACCGTTAATTGAACAACACACTCGTCCGTGAGTGCAACATCGAACCGCAATCTGCTTGCCCGCGACTGTTTTAATCGCGCGCCCATAACAAATAGTGATCGATGACTTCGGCAAATAGCTTGGAGTGTTGGCACAGGGGTTGGGGCACTTAACGATGCACCCATTCACCAGGGTTCATTTCCTGGCCACAGCTAACAGCAGCGGTATACGCTAGAAGAATATAAGAATAGGGTTTACCCTTTCTGGCAATACAACAGGTGTTAAGATACTCTTAGTTTATTTCGGTAAAGTCACGTAGGTAAAAAATAAAATAAATAAATGAAAATAACTAAATTAAATCACGACGTTTCGGACGCAACACAAGCCTCTGCCATCAGGTGTAACTGCTCCAGTAAAATGACTGTAGCGTGTGAAGAAAGCTATTCAAGACACGTGTTTTTGTATAGCAGTTACACCTGATGGCGGAGGCTTGTGTTGCGTCCGAAACGTCGTGATTTAATTTAGTTATTTTCATTTTTTATTATTTCATTTTATTATAAAAAAATTTTACCTACGTGACTTTACCGAAAGAACCTAAGAGTATGAATCCTTGCAGTCACGAAAGCTTCAAATCTAGATGTTAAGATGTTAAAACACTGAGCTGAAACCTTTTTGCACGGAATCATGTCTGCATTAACCACAAATACTTGTGGTGAACATGCAAACAAAAAAAACATGCCCTAATAGTATGTGGTGCATTGTCTTTGACACGGATTGGTCCACACCAGAGACAGCTTTCTTTAGAGCCTCGTCTCACTAACAGTGTTAGACCGGAGGACATCGCCAAAAGGCGAACAGCACAAAGAGAATGCCACGATCAGGACATTGGGAGCTCGGGGTGAGCAGCTACATCATAAGTCAAAGGGATTTCCGCTAGAAGAAGCTGCTGAGTTATATTCTGAGCAGTCCTCCCCCCCCCTCCTTCACCAAACTGTTTTGTCGTAACCCTTGATAACCCTTGCGCACCGCAGGACTGCCAGGGTATGAAGAGCCCTCGTCCAGCAGCGCATTGACAAAGAGGTGTCGCTTTTTAAATCCTTTATATTAAGTTCACTTGCTTGCTTGCGCGCTTACGACCGTGCAAATCTTTCGGTCGTTTTTTAACCCACTTCCCGTGATCCAATCGAGCTGACATTTTGCACACAGACTCGTTGTGCGTGACAATTAATTTGTGAAAAATTTTTTCCAAAATTTTCCACTTTTTAGGAAAAAATAAATTATATTTTACTACCAATTGCTTAATGGTGGCAGGCAATCATCTGACCCATAGGTGGCAGCCATCTCAAGCCAGAGGACGAGAGGACTCTAGCCGCCACGCATATAAAGGATTTATAGTGAAAAACTTTGTTTTTACGGGTAAATTTTTTGCTGGTTTTATATCGCGGCAATCAGTCATTGGAAGTGTGCACAATGCGGCAATGCAGATGCTCGAATTTAACAGCGATGAAACAACAAACATATACACGAAGAGTGGAAATGAATCACACAAAACCATCTAAAATAAGACAAAGGGATTTCCGATTCCAATGATCATAGAGGGGGTGCTCACCTCCTGTTTACAGGCAATGATTCCGATCTAGTGGTGGACATTTCCACATTCATATGGTGGGGACGAGTCCCTCCATTTGAACAACCACTGTTGAGTTATCCTATTAAGATCCCACGTGTAGCCTTAACAGAGTGCAGGGGCAAGTGCTGTTAGCGAGCACCTATTGAAGGCCGGAACGGCACACTGAGGGGGTGGGTGGCCAGCACCACACCCGGCGGCCTTTGTCTCCCAAATGGCGATGTTTACACACCGCACCAAGCTACTCATTTGAGGCCGAGTAGACCTAGCGGAGGTCCAGGACCGATTTAGATAATCTTCACTGGTGTTGGTGGCCGTGAGCGGGAATCGAACTCGGGACGCGGGGTTCGTAGCACAGAGCGCTACAACCGCTCCCCCACCACTCCCCCACCACTCCCCACCGCTCCCCCACCGCTCCCCCACCCCCACCGCTCCCCCACCGCTCCCCCACCCCCACCGCTCCCCCACCGCTCCCCCACCCCCACAGTGCCACCTCCACCGTTCGCTATTCACGTGGCCCTCCTTATTGGCCCCACCAACAACAACAGCCTTTGGAATTGAGTCTGAAAATGTGTTTAGTCACGCTGATGTGTGTTCTTAATGGGGTGGGGGCCGGTCAACGTTGAAGGTTTTACAGCCACTTCGACCACAAGCAATTGAAGTTTGGACTCTAAAACGAGTTGTATAAAAGAACCCCAACGGGCTGATGTGGCAAGAGGTCACGACTCTGCCAAACCCACAGAGGGCAACTTTCTTCTGTTTGCCGAAGGGGACCACCACGCGTTCGTCTTATTTGCACGCCCATTCATCACACACTTTCCAGCACCCTGTTGCCCAACGCCAAATGTAACCGGAATGCCCCCCACCCCCTATACCCAAATTAGTCAGATCTCAAAAGCCAAGCAGGGTTGGCCTTGGATTACTACATTTCTTGGGATGAGCGACCCCCTATTCATAAAGCTGTGTGAGATATTTTTTAGATGAAATATTTGTTTTCATCAGATTTTTTAGATAGAATATTTGTTTTCATCAGATTTTTTGGATTAAATATTTGTTTTCATCAGATTTTTTTGATTGAATATTTGTTTTCATCATATTTTTTTAGATTGAATGTTTGTTTTCATCAGATTTTTTTAGATTGAATATTTGTTTTCATCAGATTTTTTTTAGATAAAATATTTGGTTTGATCAGTTTATTATTTATTTAATATTTGTTTTCATCAGATTTTTTGTACGAAATATTTTTTTGTTTATCAGATTTTTTGTTTGCTGTACACAAGAACGCAGGGCTCGCAGCAACGACGTTGGGTGACAAAAAAAAACAACCGCACGCGAATATCCGCCTGGCCGCATCATGTACCCGATGTGTCCTGGTTGATGGGTGCCGGGGGGGGGGAGACAGACAATCCGTGGGGGGAGGAGAATTGATAATCTATTGTCTCGTTTACGTAGAAAAATCGCGCCGGTAGAACATTCGGGTTTTTTTGTTTGTTTTTGGTAGCCTAGGTCGGGAGCGGCGGGGCTGGATGTGTCGGAAAAAGTAAAACACAAGGGGGGGGGGGGTCCCCCGGCTTGTATGACGAAGGCTGTGGGGGGGGGGGGGGTGCTGTAGGAGTCTACTGGCGCTGCGTTCTCAGCAGGGTACAGGAATGCAGCAGCAACAACAACATCAACAACACAAACCCATCGTGCCGTGCTCCCCGCCTCTGCAAGCCCGCAGCGAACGGGGCAGTGGAGCGGTCAGATCGCTGCAGCCACGAGCCGCAGCAGGGCGCGGAGAAGGCCCTGATCGAGCACGGGCTGACAAGGGGGACTCATCTCACTAGTCGTCCATGCAAAATTGCATCTCACAAGCGCCGAGGAATCGCAGGCACGAGTTGGAAGGATGCCAATTCGGTGAGCCGGCGTCAATAACACTGGTCAACACACTTGTTCTGGCATAAGGTATTCCAACGGTTTTAAGGTATTTCCCATAAATATGCTAAATTCCTCTTGATATTCCAATTCCTTTGTCAAGGCGCCCTTCCCCCTCTAACCCAGCTTAAATATACGCTGCCAAGCCTGGTGGTGCCCATTCACACGCTGTCTTTCTGACAGACCTGTTCTTCACCTGAGGACGGCTGCTTGCGTTGTGGCCGAAACGTCGTGAGAATTATTTAATGTTTTATTTTTATTATTTTATTATTTCCCTTCTACATGACTTTACCGAA